CCCCCCCCCCCCTCGGGCTCCCGTGAGCCTCAGGTCAGTGCTGCTCTCGCCGATCCCCGGTTGCTGCTCTGTGCCACCCACTCCTTCGTAGAGCAGTGCTGGCCCAATCCAGCCCAGTCCACCCCCAGCTCTGCTCAGTGATGCTGTCCTGTGCCTCCAGATGAGAGCTGGATCCATCCCCCTCTCTTCATCCTTGTCTTCCTCTGGCTGGGGGTTTCCTCCCTGGGCACCTCTGTCTCCCTTTTCTCCCCCTCCCGCTCCTTTAGCCCCTCCGAAGGGGAACACTGCAATGCTGCACCCTGATCTCTGCCCAGTGCCCCTGCCCTGCCTTGTCCCCAGCTCTGGGTCCTACAGCAGCATCACTGCTGCACCCAGGGCCAGAGCATCACCGACCCTCTCACTCAGGCCCCTCAGCCCCACCGAGGCAACCCCAGGAGAAGTTTCATCCCCTGTGTCTGCGTGACCTCCCAAAGTGACACCACGGGTCGGGGTGTCCAGCTGTGTCTGGCTCAGTCCCGACCCTGCCCATCGCAGGGCTCTGCCGTGGAACGGCCGTGTCCCAGCTTTGCCTGTTGGTATTTGCCCAGAAACGTGTCTGGATGGCACAGCACAGCAGATCACCCCCACACCATGATGTGAGGACCTTGTCCTGGTTTAGCTGTGTACATCCTCACTCAGGGGATTTTAATAAACCTAAAATGAGAATTGATAAATCGCAGCTAAAGGAGGGAGCGTGAGGCTGGCTGAGGGTGGAGGGTGGCTCAGTAGAGAGTGTCGGTGGATTTTCCTTTTATGCAGTTGGGAGCTGTGCCCCTGTTCTGCTGCTGTGACTTTAAGGGCTCAAAAACTGTTTGGTTTGGGTTTGACTTGTTGCTTTTCCTCCTTGTTTTGCACATGGCATTTCTTTCCTTTTAGAGCTGCATGGTCTGCGGGGGCAGTTTGCAGGTGAAGCAGGAGGAAGGCAGAAAGCCCTGATCCCTCAAGAGTATCTGCTCGTGTTTAACCCGAGGACCGGGAAAAATCCCCACGGGAAACCAGAGCATCCCCGCGGCCCCCGCCCGGGTGGGAGCTCCTCTCCCCAGCTCGCTCCCAGACTGAAGGAGTTTCTGCTCCCTCTGCTGGCTCCAGCTCCAGCCTCTCCTCTCCACGCACACCCGAGCAGGGATTGGGGCTGCTGCACCCATCGCTCCTGGGTCACGGCCTGTGGTGCCGGGTCGCAGACACTCCCCTGCCTGCTCCTTGCCTTCATCCATCCAGGGACTTCAAACCCCAGAGCACCCCACTGTCTATTACATGGCGCCTGGAAAACATCACGGCGATGTTTTCAGGACAAGCAGCACTTTCTTGCAGCTGGTAGGGAAATTCAGTCCAAACATCTCTGTTAGGTTCATGTCAACCTTGGCCTCAGGCAGGATGAGAGCCCAGCCTGGTGCGGGAAGGTCAAATACTTCATTTTGTGACTTTTTCCTTCTTCCTCAGAGTTTTTTTCTCCACGCTGGAAGCAAGGCTGTGGTACCCCAGCTCGTGCTGGGCAGGGAGTTTCAGGGCTCTGTGTCCCGTGGAGCCGGCAGCACCCGCTGGTTTGGGCAACCAGCTGCTGGGCAGGAGGAGTCCCCCAGCAAAGAGGGGCTGCGAGATCGATGGCAGGTCGGATCTGTGGAGCGTGCAGAGCCAAGCAGGGCTCCCACATTTCTCTCTAGAAACTCAGAGAAATTCATCGTTCCTTCCATGAAGCACTGGGACATGCCTGCAGGGTGATGCAGCGCAGCTCGCGGGCACAGGCTGCTGCGTGGCCAGAAAGCCCCGGGTGATGGGGACAGGCCATCTAGGCAGCATTTCCAGGCAGGACATGTGCAGGAAAAGCAGGAATTTGGATGCTGTAAAACTGGCTAACGAGGTCTGCAGTGCGAGATGGCTCCGGGATCTGGAGCAGGGCGAGACCTAGAGCCCCCCCGGAAAGCAGGTCTGGGGTTTGTATTAATGTCCCAGCCAAGGTGCCGCCCTTTTTGACACTGCAGGAGGGTCGATGGGCTTTTCCTAGTCCCCTTTACCAAGCCGTCGTCAACAAGTCCTGGGGAGGGAGTTGGATCCCATGATCTGCAGCCCACCAGAGCCCACGCAGCCACGGGAGGGCAGCAGCACCCGCAGGGACTGAGTGGGGCAGCAGAGAGGCATCAAAACTTCTAAAGCCAGGAAAAGTCCCCAGCTCCTGAGGCAGAGTCCTGAGCTCCCTCTCACCCTCACAAACACCATCACGTCTCGTTGAGAGCTGCACGGCTCTGGGCCAGGTGCCATTATCCCCCCCTCTCCCAGCAGGGCTGTGGTTCTCGTACAGCACCTTGCACATTGCCCCTCAGCATCCGTCACCGCCAGGCTGCGGCTGCAGCTCTCAGCGCCCACACGAGCTTGTTTTCTGCTGCCTGGTGTTTTCTGTGTGTCGGATCGTCTTGACGCAGGGTTGTGTTATTACTGTCCTCAACCCCTGTCACCTGGTGGCAGAGAGCACCCCAGGGCTCCTGGCAAACAGCCTTTCCCTGCCTTTTGCTCCCCAGCTGTATTTTAAGTGCCTCAGTTTCCCCTTCTCTGAGCAGGACCGTGGTATTGCAGGGGAACAAAAGGTTTATAAAACCCCTCCGGGAGGCACCCACAAGCAGCTCTGGCATATCAGCGGGGACAGTTCTGGTGCAGATCTGACTCCCAACACAAGTGAGAAGAAAATCAGGTCCAAATTACCTAACCCAAAGCTGAACTTCCGTCCCTTTGCGATGTCCAGGTTTATACCCAAACTGCTGGTTTCACCAAGTCTCGGGGTCTCACTCAGCTCCCAGCTCCGTTTCAGCAGAGATATTCTATTTGCACCAGAACTCCGGGGAGGGGAACCAAGAACTGACGCTTTCCTATCAGTATGTATTTGGTACATTGCCCCTTAAATCCTTGAACTCAGAGGCGGATCGGACGGGGTTTAAAAACCAGGCTGCCTTTCATGCAAGAGTTAATAAGAGGAGGGAGTGAGCAAGATTTTGCAAGGAATTAAACCCGGGCAAAAGAGCCTATGGGAAAGAGCCTGTTACCAGCCCCAGGGCTGTAGGTCACCAGTGCCGTGTACTGGCTGCCAGGGTTTATTAGGTCCTTGTCTGAGCTGAGAGAGGGGAAAAAACCATGAGAAGCTGCAGGCGGAGCAGGCGGGGGCACTCCCTGACTCAAAACTGAGTGACAAGGCAGCGGTTTCCTCCAGCCAGCCCTGCTCGCCATGTGTGTCATACACCCAGACTCATGATTCATCCCCTGGACGGCTCAAAACCTCTGGCCACCCCAGAGCTGCTCTCCATCGCTCACGGCGGGGCTGGGCCAAGCAGCCCCCCACCTTCGGGGCTCGGAGAAGAAGATGGGAAAACTCGCCGTGGCTCTCGGGATCCTCATGCTCTGCGCTGGTGGCGGCTGGGGTAGGTTTACAGCCTGTAGTGCTGTCGCTTGCTTAAAGCCAGGTCATTTAGTGATTATGTTGCCTGTTACTTCCCAAAATCCCAGGACTTACTGCATTCCCAGGTTCTGTGATTTCTCAGGAAAATCACTCGGAGGGGGAGCTGGCAGCCTGAAACCTCGGCGCCGCTCCCAAAGCACAGCTCCAGCCGGTTGGGCTTCGCCTGGGTGGGCGCCAGGAGGGTTTCTCAAGGATGTTACAGGGTCAAGAGATGGTTTGGTGCGTTATTCTTGCACTGGGTGCGGCAAGTTTATTCTCTACCTACGCTGTGCTTGGCTCCGGATACTGGTTTGTAATGGAAGCACTGGGGTGTGACTTGGGCTCCGTCCTTCACAAACAGAAAATACTCGGGGGGAGTTTGCGGAGCAGGTAGTCACTGTGTCCATGGCATTGTAAGGGCATGGGGTGTCCTGATGTCAGCGTTGCTGTCTTGTGTTGTTTTTTCTCATGCTGTTTTGGTGCTTTTCTTTAAAAACTCTGATTTCAGGACAAATGTAGTTTGTATTTCTATTTTCCAATGTCTGACGCCTAGAAAAGTGTTATCTTTTCCCCAGGTGTGTTTCTGGGGGTCTAAGCAAATCTCACAACTGTGAAACGGTGTGGTGCTTTCAGCTCCTGATTTATAAATCAGTCCCATTGTTTTTGAGGACCCACTCGAGGAGGTTTGGGGCAACATTATTGTGTCTAAAGAATTCCAGACTTTGTTGAATTCCCAGGAACAGCCTGAGGCTCTGATCTGCTGCCGGAGGGAGCTGTCAGCAGTACAGGACATAGGATAACCCCTGGAAGAGTTTGCGTTTATAAAGCTGCAGTTTGGGGCTGTGCAAGTGATTTCTCTGGTCCTGTGTGTCTGTGTGATCAGCTGAGCTCAGTTTGGGGCATCCCCTCTCCGGGAAGATGCTGGCAAACAGGGAGAGGTGTAGAGAAAAGACACAGCCCTGGGATGGCGTGAGCAGGAGATCAGCCAGAAAAGCCCAAATCCTTATCACTGAATCAGGCAGAAAGGCCAGAGAGGATGGTTTGTATCTTTATCAAGTTTTCTAAAATATCTTTATCAAGTTTTCTGTGTGCACATTCTTCCTCAAATTGGCAGAGGGGGAAAAAAACCAAAATGTGTGACTGGCTCATGCAGTTACATGGAAGAGGTTACTTGGAGTGCAGACTGGGGACTGAGTAATTTTCCCCAGCCAGGGAAGGGTGATGCTCAGCCACAGACATCTAGGGTGTTTCAAGTTCATCATTTCACCTCAGTCAGGGCTGCGGGGCTGCCCAGCCCCAGGCGGGTGGTTCCGTGCTGCCCAGTTTATCTCCCCTCTCCCTGGATTTCATGTGCTAGGATTTCTTCTGTTTTAAAACCCTGAGTCTTTAGGATTAAATCATTACATGAGACCAGCTGCTTTCATAGTAAAAAAATGAAGCTTTTGTACTTTGGTTTATTAGTTTTTATGGCTGGAAAAACAAGCCCCAAACATAGGGGGGGGGAAGAACTAAAACCCAGAATTTATTAGTTTAGGCTACGCTGGGATCTTGTTAACCTGCTCGCAGCCAGGCAACGTCCTGAGCCTGGGAAGCTCTGCTGGGTGCTCACAGGGCCACAACCTGAAGGGACTCAAGCTGCAGCATCCTCCGCTCTCCTCCACCTCTGCTTTTCCTCCCACATCACCCCAAGGTCCCCCATTCCCCTGTCCCCACCTCCCTCCTGCATAGCCCTCCTGACACCACACCCTGCGTCCAGCCACGCAAGCAGTGCTGGAAACGCCAAAATAGAGACATTTCCCCGCAGCGAGGGGGGTGAGGCTGCCTGCTCCGCAGCAGGACGAGACCCCTGTTTGGACAGTGATAAAGTGCCCTGCGTTAATCACCGCTGGCGCCCGGGGGATTTCAGCCCTTCCCAGGGGGCAGGGATGGCCTTGCTCCGGCCAGCCCCGGGTGAAGTGCAGCCAAGAATGGCTTCCGTAGGGTGCTGGAGGTTGGGGAAGGTCCTCCATCCCCAGGCACGTGGCTCGGTCATGGAGTGATGGAGAACACGGGGACCACCGGGCTGCATGAGTCTGGGGCAGACACCCCTAGGCTGGGGCTTCGGGCAGTCCAAGGGGGCAGGTACCCACCTGCAGGGACCCCCTGGGCAAAGCCACCGCTGCCGGCAGTGGCATGGTGGCACCATGTGATGGCAGATGCCATAGCAGCCTCGGGCACGGCAGCATCATCCCCTCAGGGACCCTTCGTGCTGCAGCCCCACCGAACCCCTCCCCAGACGTGGGGTCGCCGCTCTGCCTGGGTGTGACAGCCCGGCTTGTGGCCTTTGTTCCAAAATCAGCCAGAAAAGTGGGTTTACATCTCCAGTGTGGAGGGGGGGACACCAGATCAAGGACCCCTGGGCTGTGGGGTGGTGGCAGGAGGGGAGGAGAGAAAACCACCAGGGCCCAGAGGCTGTGCGTAGGCAGGAGGTCACTTGTCCCAAATGCTGGGGAGGAGATGAGCTCCCCAGCCCAGAGGGACAGTCCTGGGGCACATTAGCTCAGCAGAGGCAGCCAGGGGCTCAGCCAGCACACACGAGCTTAGAAATCCAAAATCCTCCAAATTGTGTTTCAGTGCAGCTGGGTCTCGCTGAGACCAGGGTTAACGCTGCACAGGGGAAACTGAGGCAGGGAGCGCTGAGGGACTTGGCTCAAGTCACAGGAGAAACCTGTTTGAGGTAGGATTTGGACGAGTGTGTCTCACATCCTGGATGCTGGTGTGAGCCCTGGGTCCCATCCCCAGGCTGGGAGCGTGGCTGGAGCACCCGGAGGTGGCAGGGGCCCTGGTCAGCTCTGCACTCCCCCAGCAAGCTGGGTGCTGGGGCAGAGCGGGGTGACTGAGCCACCCCACAGCAAGCTAAAACCCACCCCGGAGGGAACAAACCCCACACTGGCATGAAGGAGGAACCTGAGCCAGGAGTGTTACTGGTGGTACTGGGCGCTATAACCCTGCCCCCAGCCAGGGCTGCAGCCAGGAGTCAGCAGCTGGACACAGCCACTACAGGGAGGGCTGTGAGAGCAGAAGAAAGCAATGAAACTCCTGGCACAGGGGAGGTACCTGGACCTCGCCCCCCTCCCTGTCCAGGGGGTCACGGTGCTGGGCCGGGTATCACAGCATCGGCGCTGCCCAGGGACCTGCTGTCTTGGAAGCTGCTCCCGCCCCGGGGTTGGCAGCTCGGAGAGTTTAATCCCGAGCACCTCGAGCTGCCGGCGTAAGGCCTCGCCGCCGTCCCCGAGGGCTGAGCTGCTGCCAGCCCTGCTGGAACCGGCTCCCAGCTGCGCGGCACAGCCCAAATCCACGGCACGTGCCCCAGCACCGGGCTGCAGCCGCCGGCGCTTGGCAAGGCAGGAGGGATCTTACACGGGCGCAGCGAGAGCAGGCGTGAGAAACGGGAGCCGGTGCTGTTGGTGCCACTGCTGCCTTCTGAGAGCCCTTTGCCTCCCCCCTGCCAAGCCCCGGCTGCCCAGACCCATCACCCAAGGGTGCAACATCGCCGCTAACACATCGCTAAGTGTCCTCGGTGCGGAAAGCACTGGGGATCGACCTGTCGCTCTTTTAGGCAATGCTAAATTTAAAATCTTTCCCATCCTCGCATGCTGCAGCTGGGTATTTTCATGTATGGAGAGAGCTCTGGGAGTGGATCCCCCCCGGAGCTGAGCCAGGCAGTTGGGGTGTAGCCTGTAGTTTAGTCCCCCCACGCCGGACGGGTGGGGAGTGCGGGTGGCAGAGGTCCGACGGGGCACACTGGCCCCAGTGCCCTGGGGCACATCCCCAAGCAGCCACTGGCCTTTGGGACAGCCACAGCGTGTCCATCCCAGCCTGTGACACCAGCCTCATACAGACACGCAGCGCCGTGACACGCTGCACACACACGTGTGCACACTCAGGTCGCGTACACAGGCACACAACGTCATCACCGTGGTTCTGCCCAAAGACCTGACGACATCGTTTCACCATTTCCTCTTTCTGCTTTGTGTTGCAATTCCTGCAGCTGTGGAAAACGCAGCTTTTTTTCTGCCTGCGGCTGCTGGGGAGAGCCCTGAGCAGGGACGGGGGGACACAGGGCAAAGGGGAGACCCCAGCGCTCGCTGCTCCACGCCGGCATCCCCCGGGCTCCCCAGGCTGCCGCGTTCCCTCAACCAAGCAGGTACATGGCTGCAGTCTGCTCTGCCTGGGAATCCGACAACTCTGTGGAGATGCTTGTGCCCTGGGAGGGAGGAAGAGCTGAGGGTAAAGCCACCACAGCCGTGTTGCCAACCACAACGTCACGTCAGCCATTGGCCATGGGAACCACAGGGCCACAAAGTCCTGCCTCTGCCAGAGGAGCTCCTCCTGCCCTGTCAGGCTCTGGCACTGCCCTGGGGCCCCTGAGGGAATTTGGGGGCCCTTTAATCCCCCACAGGGACCCACTGGCCTCTGATCTTCATGACGGGTGCCAGCGTGCATCTCCCAAAGTCCCCACGGCCACAACAGAGCTCAACCTTTCCCCAGGGCATCAGCGCAAACCACCACCAAGACGTTTCTGGACTCGTGCCCTTTCCCTCCCCTCCTTTCCACGGGTTTGAACCCAAGCCAAGACCAGCTGCTGGGTTTAATGTCTGCAGAAGAAGGCACGGACCACCTGGGTTGGGGGTGGTGGGAAGAGGCGGCAGTTCCCCGGCTGCCAGCAGGGCTGCGGGTGCTGTGCTGCGCCCCTGGGAGCTCACCCCTTCCCCCTCCCTGCTGCCCCTGAATCCCTGCAGGGAGGCCCGAGGGGAGATGCTGTCACCCCCACCAGTGGTGAGGGCTCCACTCCAACACGTGTGTGACATCGCAGGGATGGGGGAGCCCAAGGAGCCGACAGGTGGGAAATGAGCTCAGTCCTGGGCAGGATGAGGTGGGCTGGGGAGGTGGTTCTGAAAGGGGCAGGGAGGAAGCACCTGAGGTTTGGGCCTGGGAAAGGGGTTAGAGCAGAGCACGGGTGGGATAGGGGCTGTGTCTGCCCCTGAAGCTGCTGGCTGAGCACCGAGCACTTCAGCACATGTGTAGATTTTGGGCTCTGCAGGTTGTAACGGCTCTGTTTGCTGTTTCAGGGGGTAACATCTGCACCACCCGCGGGGTGAACTCCTGCAAGCAGTGCCTGGCCGTGAGCCCCCTCTGCGCCTGGTGCTCTGCAGAGGTAAGAGCTGGGGGGAGGCTGAGCTGGGCTGGAGCACGTCCCTGAGCCAGACAGGGGGTGCGTAGGGAGGGACAAGCCTCGGGGCTGTGGGATGGGTGCTGGTCCCTGTGTTACAGCCACATGCTCGGTCTCCATCTGTTCCCACCGTGTCTAAACACATTCCTCGGCGGCTCTGACCGCAGCTCGAGATGCACAGCCATGGGGCTCGGGCTGCCTGTTCCTGCCTCGCACTGAAAAATTGCCCCTTATCTGGGTGTGTCAGCGGGAGCTGCGTGGAGCTGGCTGGGAAATGCTGATGTTTCCACTGGGAATTCACTTTGTCTCTCCAAAAATGTATGTTTGAAAACCTAGTTTACTTTTTTGTTTGATTCTTGAAAACCCATTGTAAACCTCTGGCTAAAGGAGTTTAATTGCTGGAAGGGCTGAAAAGGGAAGGTGACCTGGTGGGAGGAAGAAGTACAGATTAGAAGTCAGGATTTGGGTTCAAAAGCTTCTTCTTCTTTGGAAAGAGGGGGAAGGTGCCTGACTTTGGTTGCTGAGCTAAAGAGGATGTGACTCTGAGCTGTGGCTCTAAACTCACTCTTGGTGGGTGTGAGAGCCTGGAAGATCTGCCACGATCCCCTCCAAAAATGCTGTCCTGAGGGTGGGTCCATCGGGAAGGTCAGAGCAGGGAGTTTCCCAACACAATGGGAGAGCAGCCGCGGGGCAGAGACAAGGGGAGGTGAGGGGATGGGGAGAGGTGATGAAACCTTCAGGGCTGCACAGTTCCCCCTCCGGCAAGTTTTTTCTTGCTTTCTGTTTCTCCATCCATGAAACTTTGCTTCCTCCTGCTGTGCCCGCGGTGCCCACCAGCACTGGGAAACGATCTGGGAAGAAGGGATCCAAGCTGGCAAATGCTGCTGGGTCGCGCCTGCCTGGCCTGATGCTCCGGGGTCAGTGTGTCTGGAGGGGATGCCTCTGCTTGCTGCGCCCATCAGATAGGGCCGGGATCTCGGTGTGTGGTGTCAATAAAGATGCTGTGCCTCGGCTTATCTCCCGCAAGGAGTGGCTGAAATTTGCAGCGTGATAAGGGGCCTCGCTCCCCTCGCCAGAGGGGCAATGACTGACTGGGCTAGGCTGGCTCCTTCCTGGCTGCTGATCCTGGGCTGCGTGTCTTGACGCTGCATTGGGGGCTGTGATGGGGTGGTTTGGTTTTTTTTTTTTCGTCCAGATCAGCAAAGGTTTCCAAAAAAGGAAATATTTCCAGTGCTGCTCAGAGCTGCGCTCATGGACAGACATGACAAGCAGTGAGGGAGCCGTCCCGCTGCCAGCAACCAGCCCCTGGAGAGCCAGGCTGTGCAAACTCTGCTCAGCAACTCTGCCTCCAACATCTGGACCACATTGTCTTAATTTAGCAAATGAGGGTTGGGGTTTTTTTTCTGTGGGTCTGTTTAATTTCACTGGGGTGGGGGAGGTCTCTGATACTGTGCCCCCCCCTTTTCTTTTTTTAAAAGGACAGTGCCCTTATTGGTGCTTCTGCTCCCTCGGCAGCCCTTTCCCACACACACTGCCTTCCCGAGGAGCCGGGGGTTACCAGTTACCCCCGCTCCATCCTGGCTTTGGACAGGAGAGGGATTTCGTTGCAGTTTCGTGGGATCACTGTCCCCACTGAGCGCTGATGCAGAGAACTGAGTTTTACTTATTTTTCAGAAACTTTGACCACTCTTACCAACAAATAGATGTGCCCATCCACTCACTTTTCTTTTTGGAAAAAGTTAGACAAACCTTAATGCTGAGACATGGCTCTAAAATCACTTTGGAGATTATGGTGACAGATCTTTCAGGGTCTCACCCACTCTGGTTCTCATGAAGGCAAGGCCGGACCAGGGTTTGATTTTTTTTTTCTTTTTTTTAAGAGAAGCTGCTGGAAGGTTTTAGCTTAATCTGCAGAGGCGTCTGTGCCTTGGGTCCCCCCGGGAGCTCTCCTGCAGAGAAGCTGATGCTGTATGTGGTCTCCTGCGAGATGAAAACAGAGATGCCCTGGGGATGTGTGACTCCCCACAGCCCCCCCACCAGCAGTGAGGGAGCTCTGCCAGCACCCTGCCTGACCCTGCCCTTGCTTAGTGTTTGGAGCCAGTGATCAGGGATAAAATCATCAGGTTTCCCCATCCAAGAGGGAGCTTGAGCTGAAACCTCTTTCCCTGCAGTGGGACGGAGGTGCCCAAAGGGGAGGTGGAGCTGGAGAGCATCTCAGCTGCAGGATGACTTGTGATGGAGGCATGGTAACGTGTTCCCCCTGCAGCATCTTCGTGACAGGGTGTGGATGCTGTCAGGGCTGCGCTGGTGGGGAACTGGGGTTTGCAGGGTCTGTGTCAGTGGATGAAGTCCCTGCACTGTGAGTTGGTCACCAGCAAGCCTGGGCTGCCCTGGGTCGCTCCTACCTGGGGCTGTGTCCAAGTCACTGTGTCTGCATGCCTATGGAGACTGGGCTGGGGGCTGCAAAAGCCTCGTAGCCAAATGTCCCATCAATGGCACAGTAACTTCGTCCTCTGCCTTTTGCAGTAGCTTTATTGTTTGGGAGGTTCTTGTGCATCCTGAGTCAATCGTGATGCTTGGGGCTCCAGGGCAAGGGGAAGGATGCAGCCCTGGGTTTAAATAGCTTCTCCATGGGAATCTTGCAGTAGGAATGATGCTGCTAATCCCATAAGGTGCCTTTGAGGTCCTGGGAGCTCCCCAGGATCTCCAGGTATCACCCAAGAGCCCAGCACCACAGTTAAAAACCTGCCTGCCCAGCCTTTTCACCTGTGTATTTTTTCCATTGATCTCTCCACCTGGGACAGGAATGTACGTGATGGTTGATTGGATCTAGAGTACACGAGGCACTTCTTCCTGCAGCAGGGAGCCTGGTGGGACAAGCCTGTGGGGTGGGTGGGTGCAAGGGAGCTAATTTAGAGCAGTGACTTGATCTCTCGCTGACAGCATGCTGTCCAGGCAGCAAGGGTGGGAGTGGGAGGCCGCAGGGGAGGAACACGCCTGCTGATGTATTTTCTGGCTATCGCTTGGCCACTGTTTCCAGAGGGCTGTAAGCCAGCCAGCCACGGCCTTCTGACACTGTTTGCATTTTTCCACTTGTTTGCTTAAAACACACAAAAATTCATTCCTGGGTTCAGTCAGCCTGAACCTGGGGGAGCCAATATCCTGGATGGGGAACCTCTGCAGTGCTGGGATCCAGCTTCCCAGGAGCAGGAGGGAGCTGCACCAGCCACACCGGGATTTGTGCCACCCCCGTTTGCTGCGGGGAAAGGCTGTGCAGGTCATCTGCTGCAGGGCTTTGAATGTAGAAAGATTTGGGCTGTGGGAGGGAGATGGAGAAATCCCCTGGAGGGGAGGGTGGCTTCTGCCTGGTGGAGAACTTGTGGCAGCAGATCCTGGCGGCGTTGGTCTGTGAAATTCTTCCCATATTTGTCTTCATGAGAAACAGGAGCGATGGGAGCCCTTCTGAATGTGCTGTGATAAGGGTGAGGAGCTGGGAGCTTTCTAGGAAAGGAGGAACGGGGCTGGATCCCCATCGTGACTCCACACTTTGTGCTTCCTGCCCCTGACGGGCACTTGACGGCTTCCCCTGCAGCCCTGTTGCCTTTTTGCTCTTTCACTCCTTTTTTGGTTCTCTCCCCCGGCTGGCTTCATCCGGCAGGAAGCTGGGAAGCTAGAGATAAGCCTGAACCCTTTCTGGACAGGAACTGAGCACCGCTTCATGCGATGGGCTCACCCACAGCAGGCCCGTTCCTTGATTGTGGCAAGATTTCTAAGGGTGCATGTCAAGAAAATGGGGGGAAAATGTGGCTCATCCTTCACCAGAGTTTAGAAAATAATTTAAAAAGTTCCAGACTCTGCCTCTCACCCCCAGCCTAACACGTTCACATCCTGCCTCACCCTCTTCTAAGCCATCCCACGTAGACAGGCTTTGCTTTTGGCTTTGCCGAAAATCAGACCCGAGGCTCTGGCTGCTAGGAGTCAGAGGGGGTTGGCAGGGGTATGGCAGCCACTGCCCCTTCCTGGCGGGGAGCTCTCCTGACAAGCACAGCAGACCAAAACCTGCTCAGAGCCCCGGCAGGACTTGCTGATCCTGGATCCCTTCTGTTTGTCCCATGAGCAGACACCATGTGCCTCAAAAAGCCTCTTATCCTAGTCTTGGCTTAGGTGTGATAAAGCAGGGACTCTCCAGGGAAAAGGGGGTGTCTCTTCCTCCCAGTATAATCCCAGGGGTTCCCAGTGGGGAGCTGGCTTCTGACCATGTCCCTCTCCCACAGGTCTTGGCACAATCATCCCCTCGCTGTGACCTACGTGCCAACCTCCTGAAAAACGGCTGCGGGCAGGACTACATCGAGTTCCCCACCAGCAGCGTAACCATCCTGGAGAACAAACCCCTCAGCAACAAGGGCTCAGGGGGCTCTGCCACCACCCAGATGAGCCCCCAGAAAATCCAGCTGAACCTGCGGCCGGGTAAGAGCCCCCAGGCTGCTGTGGGAAGGGGAGATGCAGTGGGAATAACCCAACGGGCTGAAGTGATGAGTCCCACTGGCCAAGGCTGTCTCGTGTCCATTGAGGGGGGCAAGGCCAGGCTGGGGGCTGCACCAGACCCTCTGGGAACATCCCCGATGGGCAGCGGGCTGTCTGCAGCTGATTTCTGCTGGTCAGTCTCCTGGCTCGGTCCTGTGGTATCCCAAGGGGCGGGATGGGATGTGACTTCGACAACGCACGGGCTTATTTTATCAAGGCACATAGACCTTAGGCACTGCTACTGCATTCTGGGTGCTTTGGTGGAAGTCAGCTGGTGTCTAACGAGCCGTGGAGCAGCTGGCAGGGTTGGACTGCCAACAGGTCCTTGTAATTTCCCAGGCTTGTTTCAGCCAGGCAGGCTGGAGCCAATTAACTGTTATCATTGCTTGCCAGCATCGAGGAGTTTCGAGCGATGCCAGGCAGGCGGCAAACTAATGGGCGTCACTTGCCCAAGGTCACAAAACCGGTTTGGGGAACGTGGAGCGGTGCCATCACTGTGCCCTGCCCCCCAGGTAGCCCACCCCTGGCCATCCACTCACTGATGACTCTTCCAGACTCAGCAAGAACAGTTTTGGTTCCTTGTGCTCATTAAAGCCCTGGAGCGAGATACACATCCCCACACCTGGCCGAGGAGCCTGACCCATCTGAATGACAGCAGTCTGACGTGTCCCCGCACCATGGAGACATGTAACTGCTAAGCAGCCCTTGCTTTATTTAGGTCTAAAGATATCTGGCAGGAGGCAGGTAGGTGTGCTGCTCTGCAGAGGAACAGAGGCAGTGTGCGCTGCTGTAAGTCCCCGTTCCTTGGAGGCAGTAGAAGAAAATCACAGCTTGATATCATCTCTGCCCAACCAAGAAGGCTTGGCGCGAGTCATCTGCCTTGACTCATGAACCGAGACCATATGCTGAGGGATGTAAGTAGATCAGGTCACAGCCCGTGTCCCACAGGCTCATGATTTTAGCTCAACGAGGAGAAGCAGATGCTCTCTGAGCACAAAGCTGCGACCCCTGACTACATGGTGGTGCTCCAGCGACGCAGCTGGAGGGGGGATGGAGTAATTTGTGCTCTTGTAGATTTTGAAACTTTCTCCATCCTGAAAGTCAGAATGCGACATGAAGACTTAGATGGAAATATGAAAACAATAACAATTTCAGCTTAATTAAAGCTTTTTTCCTCAACATTTGAGGTGTTCTGAGAAGGCTGCAGCTGTGCCCCAGCTTACATTTCAAAGAAGCTGTTTCAAAGAACAGTGAGAAAGAACCTTTGTCTCTCTTAAAAGGCAGAAAGAAAAGGTCAACCCTAAGTGTTTTCAGCATTTTTTTTGAAGTGCAAAAGTCATCGAAACTGGCCTGTTCCCCAGAATATTCTGTCTAAGGAGGTTTTTGTTTCAATGGAAAACATTTCACCAAAAATTTCCCAGAAGCAGCTGGGAGGAGCCAAGAGGAGAGGGAAGGAACAGAGATGGGAGAGGCCCCAGGAGATGCTTGGAGTCTTTGGGAGCTCAGAGAACTCTGAAGCAAAATCTGCAGATCCCTGGTAATCCCTGTAAGACCTGCTCCCCACACACTGGGTGTTCCACTCACTCCATCCAGCGTATGTGGGTCACGCTGTTCACGCAGGACAGCTTGGGGGATCAGCTCTGATCAGGAGGATCTGCTCACGTCCTGGTAATGAGAAGGTTGGGGAACAGGAGCCACAAGCCACATTTGCCATCTCCAAGGGGTCCACATCATATCTCTCATGCAAGCAACCTGCCTTAAAGTCTTTGTCCCTTTGTGTCTGTTTAACTAGGATGTTCTCCTCCCAGCAGCTTTAAACCATCTCCTTGGGTTCCTGCTGACCTCCTCCCTAGTCCTGTGGTGAACCTCCTCTTCTCCTCCCAGGAGAGGATCTCTCACTCCGCTGCTCTCTCTGTTACAGATGACTCCCAGATCTTTCGCGTCCAAGTGCGTCAAGTGGAAGACTATCCCGTGGATATCTACTACCTGATGGACCTGTCCAACTCCATGAAGGACGATCTCAAGAACATCCAGAACCTGGGCACAAAGCTGGCCAGTGAGATGCGCAAGCTCACCAGCAACCTACGCATCGGTTTTGGGGCCTTTGTGGACAAGCCCATTTCCCCCTACATGTATATCTCTCCTCCAGAAGCCATCACGAACCCTTGCTATGAGTAAGTCCCAGGCTGAGGGAGCCCTATAAGGTCCAGAAGTTAATGGGACATCACTGGAACGTGGCTGGAAATACGTATCGATCAATTTCAGCAGGGAGTGGGTGCCTGATTTTGGACAGGGTTTAAACCTTGCTGCACTGCATGTTCTGCTGACACAGGGAGGAGGAGCAAGTCTAAACTAAAAGGATCATTGTGACTGAAAAGCTCTTAAGGGAACAAAAAATTTTACACCTTTGTTTCAGGAGAGATGTTGAGGCTTAAAAAAAATGACTCCTAAAAATCCCAGCAGGACAGAGTCTGGCAGCTGACCTGAGCCCAGCATCTCTAGAACTTGTGGTGGATTTCTAAAAGGTCCTTCACCAGCCTCTGGCTGTGTCCTCAGGCTCTTGGGGTGGTTGGGTCCCTCCAACCCATCCTGGACAGGACCATGGGATGTGAGGTGGCTGCAGAGTAGGGGTGGGAGCTGGAAGAGCTCTGTGAGTCTCGTGCCCTGACTGTTCTTCTCCCATAGGATCGGGGAAACCTGCCTGCCCATGTTTGGCTACAAACACGTCCTGTCTCTCACGGATGAGGTGACCCGTTTCAACGAGGAGGTGCGGAAGCAGAGCGTCTCACGGAACCGTGATGCACCAGAGGGCGGCTTCGACGCCATCATCCAGGCCACCGTGTGTGATGTAAGGGGCAAGAAGGCCTGACTGGGGCTGGGAGAGGGCCATCAGGCTGGGCCTGGTGTGTTGGCAGAGACCACCCAACCCTACCAGGACAGGACCATAAGCCCTGTGGAGCTGCTGCAGGGCTAAGATCTGGAGAGGGTGAACATTCAACCAGGACATTTCTAGACCAATAGCCAAGGCCAGGGAAGAGCAGGACCCCTGTGTGGCCCTGCGAGGAGAGAGGAGCCGAGCAGGTGCTTGGGAACTGAAGATGATCCCATGTCAGCCCAGCAGTAACCAACCAGAAGGGACATCATCTCCTGTGCCTGCACCTTGATTTCGCTGGAAAAGGGAGCAGTTGCACCCCTCAGTCATTAGCCACCTTGATTAACATTCCAGCAAATTAAAACCTGTCTCTCACCTGTACAAGCAGTCCATGCTCACCTGCCAGGCTCCATAGCCCCCACACCACCCCCTTGGCACTTCCTAGGGGAAGCAATTGCCCTCAGTTCCCTCTGCAGTGGCAAGTGGGTCCCCATGGCCAAGCTATGACCTGGGGTGGCAGCAAAGGCAGTAGCAGGGTTCTGGCATGCACGGCTGCCCTTGGCACATGCTGCCATGTGACAGGGAGCTGCCTTTTGCTGCAGGAGAAGATTGGTTGGAGGAACGATGCTTCACACCTACTCGTCTTCACCACGGATGCCAAGACCCACATCGCGCTGGACGGCAGGCTGGCCGGCATCGTGCAGCCCAACGATGCCCAGTGCCACATTGACAAGGATAATTTCTACTCTGCTTCCACCACACTGGTAAACCCTGACCCACGCGTGGGGTTGGGGAGCCCAGAGCTTCTGTTGAGGGTCCCCATGGGTTGGGAAAGGTGGTCCAGGGTCTCCTGGTTTGGAAGCATGATGAGAACCAGGGTAGTTGGGGGTACCTATTCCTAGAGTATAGCCTCTCTTCTATCCCAGGACTATCCCTCTCTGGGCCTGATGACTGAGAAGCTCTCACAGAGGAACATCAACTTGGTCTTTGCTGTGACAGATACGGTTGTTGGTCTCTACCAGGTAACAGCTGCTGTGAGGGGCTGGTGGGTCCCAAGGAGCACCACCCTTTGCAGCTGGCCATAGGTGGCCAGACATAGCTTGGTGGTGTCCTGTCCTACCAAAGTTCTCTGGGAAGCTCTCGTGTGCCGGGACAGGGCTTGACCCAGCCATGGCACACTCACCCATCACGAGCAGACCGTCCTTATGATGTTTCTTCAGAACTACAGTGAGCTGATCCCAGGCACAACTGTGGGCACCTTGTCCAGAGACTCCAGTAACGTCCTGCAGCTCATAGTGGACTCCTATGGGGTGAGTGTGCAGTGTAATGGCCCCACAACAGCGCTCTCCCCCCCCCCAAAATAGCCCCTTCTTCACACTGCAAGCAGCCCACACAGATTTGGCAGCTCCTCCAGCCCTGAGCATCCTCCCTGGACCAGCTGTGACCATCTGCCTCCACCCACACGTGTGGGGGCCCCAGGGAAGGGAGATCACTGTGTTCACCGCCTGCCCCTTCCCATCCTCAAAGGCGGGGAATGACATAGCCAAGCCCCGAGAAAGACTCGGAGCACTTGGCTCCTTTCCTGGGCCTGTGGGAGCATCGCTGTGGCGTGGTGGCTGCTTGGGGGTACCCCTCCCTGGGACTGAGCCCCGCCCAGCTTGTGCTGTCTTCATCATTCCTCTCTCCTCCCCCAGAAAATCCGCTCCAAGGTGGAGCTGGAGGTGCGTGACCTCCCCGAAGAGCTGTCCCTGGCCTTCAATGCCACCTGCCTCAACGATGAGGTCATCCCCGGGCTCAAGTCGTGCATGGGGCTCAAGATCGGGGACACGGTGAGGATCCTGCTCATGGGCTTGACTTTCCCCCCCTCTGTGTAGCAGCTCATCTGATGCTCTCCACCAGCATCATCTGCTTGCCCCACCACCTCCTGGCTGACACAGACCCTGTAAACTTTGCCATGGGGAGAGGGCTCCAGCTGGGTGGGGGGAAGGAGGAAAATACTTTTTTCATTCTGCTGAATGCGAATTCTGTGGCCCTCCAGCTGAGCTCAGTCTGCTGGCCACAGTGTGTGTGGGATTTAGCCCGGTTACTATGGGAGGCAGGTACCCTGAGCCAAACTGAGCTGGGACAGCTTTGAAAAGCACAAAGTGACCTGGTGGGTCCCATTTCTGGACTCCTTAAGTTTGGGCATGGACTGGAGTGGGTACCCCAACACCAGGCTGGTGGCACTGACACCCAGATGCACCCCTCTGCTCCCCAGGTGAGCTTCAGCATCGAGGCCAAGGTACGGGGGTGCCCACGGGAGCAGCAGAAATCCTTCACCATCAAACCCGTGGGCTTCAAGGACAGCCTGACAGTGGTGGTGAACTTCAACTGTGACTGCACCTGCGAGGGACAAGCTGAGGCCAACAGCCCATCCTGCAGCCAAGGCAACGGCACGCTGGAGTGCGGCGTGTGCCGCTGCAACTCCGGGCGCCTGGGCTCGCACTGCGAGTGCTCGGAGGAGGAGTACAACCCCTCGCAGCAGGACAACTGCAGCCCCCGGCCCGGCCAGCCCATCTGCAGCCAGCGGGGCGAGTGCATCTGCGGGCAGTGCGTGTGCCACAGCAGCGACTTCGGGAAGGTGACGGGCAAGTACTGCGAGTGCGACGACTTCTCCTGCGTCCGCTTCAAGGGCCAGATGTGCTCAGGTGAGTGCTGGGGTTGTCCCATGCATTTTCCCCACCTCTCAAGCCTGCCCAGCCACGGCTTTCCCTGGACCAGCCCTGGGTTTGAAATGATGCCAGGGGAATTACTCCCCTTTTGGCAGCCGATATCACATCCTATGCCTGAGAGCTGTGGCAGGGTGATGGGCCAGAGGGTTAAAAAGCAGACCTTGATCCCTGCTTAGACTCAGGAGTCCCACCAGGGGAGCTGGTGGGCACCCAGGGAAGCAGCTCTGGGGTGCACAGGGCAGGCAACCTGCTCAAATCGCAGCCTCCAACACATCAGAGATAGTATTGCTCTGCAGGAGGAAGCCCCAGGGTGGAGGGAGAGGGGTGGGGAGAAGCAATTTTTATCCTCCACTTAGTTCTTGAAGACTCCCTGTTGGCAAAAGCATCGGGGAAGCAAATTCTTCCCCCTCACTAGCCTTATAGCATCTCCCTTCTTGAATATTCATCACTTCCATGTGCTACCAGACTCCCCGACTCTAGCCCTGGCTGCTGCTGCTCTCAGTTGGGAGAGAGGACCAGGTCCTTGGGTTCTGCTCCCACGCCAGGGACTGGCGAAGGAGCCCCTCTCTGCAAAACACTCGTCCAACAGTGGTTTCACATGTCCTGACGTGCCAGGGCCCCTTCCCCATCAGGAAGATCTCTCACCCACATCTCCAGTAAGCACTGGGGGTCTGAGTGAGCCCCAGCACTCTGCCCCATCTCTGTTTTTTCAGGGGATGCAAAAGGGGTGGCAGTGCCTGAGACTTGGGGGATGAAGCTGTGGCACATCCTCTCCAGGAGCAGATCACCCCAAAAGCGATTCAAGGGTGGAATGAGAGGGGTACCCACCCCCTTTCCTATCCGCAGCCTCCCTCCCTGAGCCCGGGCAAGGCAGCCGCTAACACAGTGCCAAAAAAAGCCACTGCTTTGCTGATGTGAGCCCAAAAATGCCCAGGAAAATGTCAGTGGCCAAAGCTGATCCCACTGCTGGAGCCCAGCCTGGCTGAGATGAAGCCTGCTCCCCACTGTCCCCAGGTTGAGTTTTTCAGACTCCGCCTGGCCCCCAGCCCAGCTTCATGCTTCAGGGCTGCCTCTGTGCTGCTGAGAATGATCCTTTATCTTAACAGCCTGCTGATAATGGAGGCGGAAACGCTGGGGTTTTCCCCCACCCTCAGTCCCTGCCCTCGGGGACCTGGGCGCCTGTCCCTGCTCCCGCTGCCTGTTTGCTGCCAGATCCAGCAAGGCCAAGGGCAACGATCGAGCACTGCCCCCAGCCTGGGCAAGCTGATAATTAACCCGATCTGTCTAACCCTGCTGGCATCGATCCTGCCCCATTGAGCCACTTCTCTCCAGCCTCCCCCTCTGTTTCCATGCCTTCTCACCCAGCGTGGCACTCTTTTCCCGTGACTCAGCCCTAGTTCCTCATTAACAGGGTTACACATTTATTTCTCATGTTGGTGCCCCCAAGGCCATGGCAGGGACAGTGCTGGCCCATCCCAGGCCGGGAGCAGCATTCCCAACGTGCCCCAGTGTGCTCCGGGCTTGGGACGGGTCGGCGTGTGCCTGCTCCGTGGCCTTTCCACCACTCACCATGTCTTGTCTGTGAGCCAAAATCAAACCACAATCCAAATAGCTCCAGGCTTTGGCAGGATTTGAGCATGTCTGTCTGTCTGATTAAGCCCGTCTCGGTGAGCGTGCAGAGCTTGTTGGGCTTTTCCCATCAGTCAGCTTGGCCTGCCTGGTCTAGGGCTGAGAAACGAGTGGGATTTGGGGGGTTTGACCAGATGTCCTGACTCAATCTTAAATTAAAAGCCAGAGCCAGAGCCTGACTAGCTCAGAGACAGATCTGATTGAGCATCTCCAGCTGCTGCTGCTGCCAACCTGCCAGAGCTGGGGCAGCTCAGCCTGAAATTTGGCAGTTTTTTCTCATTTGGGTGGAATAAGAGGAGTGTTGGAGACACAGAAAAGGTTGAGGTTTGATGTGAGCTGCTGTGTGTCCCACCCCAAGGCAGTGGAAAGGGTTTGTCCTGGGCAGCTGGTCTGCCTTGCCGTGCCCACAGAGGTGGAGCTGCCACGCCAGGTACACGGGCACCCCATATGGACGATTGCTAACGGGACCCACGGGGACATTTAAGGGTCCTAATGCCCTCTGGGTTGTCCCCAGGCCACGGGCAGTGCAGCTGCGGGGACTGTCTGTGCGACTCGGACTGGACCGGTGACTACTGCAACTGCACCACTCGCACCGACACGTGCATGTCCAGCAACGGGCTGGTCTGCAGCGGCCACGGCTCCTGCGTCTGCGGCAAGTGCGACTGCACCCAGCCCGGCTCCTACGGTGACACCTGCGAGAAGTGTCCCACGTGCCCGGACGCCTGCACCATCAAAAAGTGAGAGAGGGCAGAAAGCTGGGACAGGTCGTACCCCAGCGGGGAGCTGGGATGGCTCAGAGCCCATCAGGGAGCCGGCAGCAGGAGCTGTCACCAGCTGCAGCCCGGTTGGGTTGGGATTGCAGCTGTTTCCACAGCCTGAGACTGAAAGGTGTGACGGTCTCCTTGGGGAGGGCATGGAGGAGCTCACAGGACCTCCCTCCTCTTCCTCAGGGAGTGCGTGGAGTGCAAGAAGTTTGAGCGGGGAGTGCTGGTGGAGCAGCAGTCCTGCAGCCGCATGTGCCGCGATGAGATCGAGACGGTGCAGGAACTGGGTAAGGGAGGAGACCCGACCCCTGCAATTTGCGCTACCTACACTGCCCACTTTGCCCCTGCATGTGCATCCCCCTGGCACGGGGGGCTCTGAGCCTCTCGCTCTGGCAGGTGACAGGGGCAAGGACGCCGTGAACTGCACCTACAAGGACGAGGACGACTGCGTGGTGCGGTTCCAGTACTACGAGGACTCCAGCGGCAAGTCCATCCTCTACGTTATCGAGGAGCCAGGTAAGACCCAGCTGCCGCAGCTGGGCTGGGCAGGCACGGAGTGTGCAGCGCTGGGTTTCTATGCTAAATGAGGGGATTTCATGTCCCTTTTGTAACTCCCACCACCGCCAGGCTCACGGGACACCGTGGTGGGGGGCTGAGAGGGGTTAAAGAGCTGCTTTGTTCCCTGCTCTGTGCCACTGGGGCCATGATTTCCTGCCTGTCTCACATTTCCCCATCATATTGCTCAGTTATTTCACCCCCACATTGAGGCCAAGGATGGGGGCTCAACCTTCCCACCGTCCTGATCCTGTTTCTGACTCCATGGGTGTGATTTTTCTCGAGAATCAGATAAGAGCTGGCTCCCACTAGCCAGGCAGGAGCAATGCTACAGCTGCACCCCAGGGCTGGGATATGGCAGCCCCCAGCCACGCAGAGCAGCCCCGGGATCTCCAGCAACCTTGAGGTCTGATTTCCAGCCCAGCTGGGGGCTGCATGGTTGCAGATCCTTCGCAAGCAGGGCCACAAAGGCAGCTGCCAGCTCTCACTACGACTGCCTGCCACGGGCAGGGCTGCAGCCCACCCTTCCCGTACCCTGTGCCTGGGGGGAGAGGCAGGCGAGGGCCCAGCAGCCCCGGGCAGCATGCGGGGGGAGCAGGGTGGGTGCTGGGGTTCACATCAGATCTCGCTGCCCCGGTTTGCCAGCGTGGTGTTGACACACACCTGGAGAGCAGGGGTGGTGTGGGGTGTCAGCCAGGCTGGTGGTTTGGGGGTGAACTTCCACCAGCCTGAGGACTTGGTCTCTGGTGTCACCCCCCACCATGGGGGTCAGTAAGCTTGTGTTGCCCCTGGCCTGCTCCAGGCTTGGGTGCAGACCCCCACCCTACAGACAGGAGCTCAAGGAGGAGCCCATCCATGGGGTGCATGTGTGGTGATCCGTTATGGAGCCTGCTGTGCTCCAAGGGTGGAGAGAGGCTCCTGCTCCCTAACAAAGGAGGATGAAACCCTCCTGAGACCAGAGGAGCCCATGTACCCCTGGCCAGGCAGCCCCAGAGCTACTTTTAATTACCCCTGGAGTGCTGAGCCCCCCCCCAACCCTGCCCTCCTCCTTCTGTCAGACTGCCCGAAGGGGGCAGACATCCTGGTGGTCCTGCTCTCGGTGACGGGCGCCATCCTGCTCATCGGCCTCGCCGCCCTGCTCATCTGGAAGCTCCTCATCACCATCCACGACCGACGGGAGTTTGCCCGCTTCGAGGAGGAGAAGGCCAGGGCCAAGTGGGACACGGTGAGGGCCAGTGGGTTGAGTGTGGTGGGCAGGAGCCCCTGAACCCCACTGCCCCTGGGTTGAGTGGATCCAGATCCCAGTGCTCCCACCATGACAGCCTGGCTGCTGTCTGTGGTTCTTCGGGACCAGCTTGCCCCATCCCTCCCTGAAGCATGGCAGAGTGTCACAGGCAGGACTCAGGGTGACACTGCCAGCCTGGACACCCCCTCCCGAGCCCGCTGTGGCCCCAGGGACTGCACACAGGGGATAGCAGATGTTCCATATGATTTTCCCATCTCCAGCATATCCCAACCACTTGCCAGCAGCATGACCCTCTTACTCACTGCCCACACCAGTGTTTCCATCCCGTGAGTGAGGTGGAAGGTCCCTCCTGCCACGGGATGCTGGAAGGGCTGAGGCACCCAAAGCACAAGGGAGGGGGCTGGGATGGCACCAGTGCCTGTCTCCATCTCTCTTCCACCTTCCCAGAGGGAAGAGATGGGGTGGGAGGCAATGTGGCGGCTCTTTCAGGAGGCCTCTCTGCTCCTGAGCTCCTGCTGCCTTCCCTCTCCCCCACAGCAGCTTTTCCCCCATGAAACTTTTTGGGGAGCCATTAAACTGTGCAGCCAAAGCCTTGAGCAGAGACATGGATCCACCCCTCAATGCTGAAGTGGTGCCTCAGTTTCTGCAGCTGTAAAGTAGAACAAATGCTGATGACAAGCACAAACTGATGATGCTCTTTTTCCTTCTCCTCCTCATTCCCCCAGGGCCACAACCCTTTATATAAAGAGGCTACGTCTACCTTCACCAACATCACGTACCGTGGGAACATGTAAGGATGCCGCATCCAGCGCTGGCCGTGGGATCAACCAAGGATCTGTGGGATCTTCTGGAGTCCAGTTTACAGAAGAGCTTGTTGTGTCTGCGTGTGTGAGTGCATCTGTGTGTAATTTAATGATCCCTGGTCTGCCTCCGAAGCCCAGTTGTCCGTCACCCCACCGTAACTGCAGGGACGTGCTTTCCACGGCAAACCTCTCATTTTTACCTCGGCGGGTCGCCTCGCGGGAGCCGGCGGCCCCTCCATACACTGAATGCGGAGAAATGGGACTTTCTCTGCCTGGCGAGTCTGTGAACATTTAGGTGCTCATCAGGCCAAGTGGATTTCAGGAGCAGCTCCTCAAACTGAAGGCCGAGCTGGGCTCTCCTCCATGGCCTGTGCTGGTGAAGCTCTGCCAGTCTGGAGAGTCCCCCCGCACACTGGACAGATGCAGGGCGCTGGGGGCAGGCACAGGAGCCATCTCCTTGGGGGACGGGAAGCTTCGCCCGCTGCCAGCAGGCAGGAGCCAGCGTGTGGCTCTGTGCGTCCGAGCAACATGGCAGCCCCCTGCTGCTTGCAGCCACACGTTTCTGACACTGCCCTGGCCCTGGACAGCGAAAAGCAGCACCCCAGCATCACAGTGCCTGTTTTCTCCTTCCCTCCACGTGCACTCAGTTTGTACCACCAGCCAATTTTATGTAGCATCAGCTGTGCTGGTCCCAGCTGCAGTCTGGCTTATCCCCAGGATGGTGCTGAGCTCCCCATGTCCCCCTCTACTGTCCCCATGCCACAAAGTACACGGATGTGCAGGCAGCAGCCTGGGGAGGGTTGTGATGCTTGTTATTCCTTGAGCCTGGCTACCTCTCCCTTTTTGTGCTTTCTGGGCTGTGTGGCTGCAGCATGCTTGGCTTTCTGTGTAGCTCAGGGTTCCAGAAGAGCAAGCAGGGTTTGGGCTGTGTCCTGCTGCCCGGGGCTGTGTATCACCTGTGGGTTGTCCTGTGGGGAAAAACGAAGGTCCCAGAAGCAGAGTTTGGCTGTAGCCATGCTGCTGCCTGGTCCCTGCCCCAGCCAGAGCCCAGCAGCTCTGTTCCCCTCCATTGCACCAAAAAGCAAGAGCGACCTTGTGCCCAGCGTGGGGCTGGCCCTAAGGGCCCCAGCAGCATCTTGGCTGAGCTGGTGGTGGCTGAGTGTCCCTGGTCCCGGGCTGGCCTGTCCCCAGCAGCGTGGGAGCAGGATCTGGCTGCAGGCAGCAGTCGCCAATGCTGGGGCTGAGCCCCAGAGCAGGGGGGGTGGATGGGCATACAAGAACGGCAGCAATTCGCACCACAAAAATAAAAATAAATAAAACTTTAAAACCTCAAGCTACTCACAGTGTCTGTGACCACACCAGCGGCCTGTGCCCAGGCTTCCTGCCCCGTGGGCAGCCCCTGGCTCTCTGGCACGACCCTGGGAGCTGTGCTAAGCCGAGATGGGTTGAGGGGTGGAGGAACCATGGGGGTCTCTGGACACTGGCGGTTACTGGTGCCCTCCTGGGGGTGGGTAACACATTTTGGGGGTACAGGGAGGGCCACAGCCTGCTACAGCCTCTGGTACACCTGGCACTTGCTGCAAGGGGGGTGAACCCCAGCAGCCCCCTAAGCTGCCCCCAGTGAGCCCTCCGGTCCCCAGAGGAGGGGAGCTGGGCTGGGGACGGCCGCAGGACGGTCTCAGGTTCAGCTGGGGCTTGGGCTGAGGGTGGAGGTGCCAAACCTGGGAGCAGGGTCCCGCCTGCGCCCCCAGCACCCCGCCCGTGCACCCACTCGGCTCCGCGTCGTGCAGGGCTGCGGGGACACCCAGCGGCCACCCGTCAAAGCAGCATTTTGGGACCACAGAAAGTGTCGGAAAAACTGTTTGCCCAACTCTCCAAGACTCCACCCGTACCCCCTGGGCCGTGATGTGCCCCCAGCCCGTGCAGCCTGTTCAGGCACCCGGGGCAGCACCCAGTGCCCCCAGCCGCAGCGGGCAGGGGCTCCAGGGGGTGTTTCCAGCAGCCAAGCAGGCTCTGGGCTTGGGCTGGGTTGGGCTCAGCTGGGTTTGGCTCAAAAAAGGAACGTTTCAGCTGCAGGGTGGGCTGAGGGGAAGGCAAAGGGGTGCCCAAGACAGAGCCTGGCTGCAACATGAAGGAGCAGGTTGAGCCCCCCGAGCTGGCGGGGGCTGCCCCAGGGTGGAGTGAGCCGGAGAAGGATTTGGGGCTCAGGGGTTTCGGCTGATCCCTCTGCTCGGTTTGGGCACCCACTCCGTGATGCTGCAGAGCTCGTGGTGCCACCCCGGGGTGCAGGGCAGCCCCCCACCCCGGGTCACCCAGCCTGGGAACCTGCCCCACTCTCCCTGCTGAGCCAGTGAGGGTCCATCCCGTGGGACACATCCAGCCTGCACAGGGCCTGATCCTGCTCAGGGCTAGGGCACAGTGCGGGGCCCAGCAAGCAGCACCCAGAGGGATGGGACACATTGTCCTCAGGCCCTGGATGTTGTCCCCATCCCTGGGCCACCCTGTGCCTTAGACACCCCACTGTACCCCATCGGACCCTGTCCCAGCTCACTGGTGGCAGGGAGCTGAGCCTGGGAATGCCACCGGTGCCACCAGGGCCATCGGGCAGAACAGGGACAGACAGGTCACACCTGGCAGTGAGCTTGGGGACTGCCCTGTGCAGCCTGGGTGCACCCAAGGGTGAATCAGCTGCAGCGTCCCTGGAGCGGGTCAGGAGGTTGAGGGGTGCTGGGGGGCATCCAGCTCTGCAGCACCCTCTTGCCAGACAGCCCCTGGCACTGAAGTCACCTCCTGCCCTGCCACAGACACTAAGCCCCAGTCTGATCCTTCCCAGCCATGCCCTCAGCCCCAGTCCCACTGGGTGTGAGACCCCAGGTGTCAGCGGGACCCTGGGGTTCCCCTGTGTGCCACAGGGCCAGGACGAGGACTCCAGGGAGCCACCAAAATCCTGTGGCCATGCAGCCACCACGGCTCAGCAGCAGCCACCACACAACGGCTCAGCAGAAAGTCAGGATGTGTCTGCCTGGTCCCGAGCCCCACCGGCCCCCAGGAGTGTGTCCTCGTCCAGCAGGACCTCCAAGTGAGTGAAGGATGCCTCCTCAGATGGAGGGAGCCCACATGTGCCCATGTTTCGGTTGCTTTATGTTCTCTGTTTTGTCCTCAAGGCAGAAAAGCCACAGGATGGGACAGGGACAGTGGTGAGGATGGTGCCAACATTGCAGGGGGTCTGTCCCACAGTGCAGGGTACTGATGGCTGAGACATATCCACCCAGGCAGGAGGTGTGCAGGAAGAACGTGCTGAAGGCAGATAAAGCACGGCAGGTGAGAGTGGGCAGCGCTGGTCCCTGCACACATTCACACGAGTTCTTTTGGAAGTGTGCCCTCACCCCAACTCTAGGATCCAATCACCCACACACACCCCCCTCATCCCCAGGGATGCAGCTGGGTCATGCCAAGGGTTGTGTGTCTCTATATTCCCCCAGGAAGCACAGGCAAGAGTTTGGCCTGGAGATGGATTTGGCTGCTGTGGAGCACCCTGGTGTGGCCCAGTCTGGGGTAGATGCCTGCACAAAAGCTGGGGGGCAGAGACGGAGGAATGGACCCTCCCAGAGCCCCCCACATGAGGACTGCTGGGTCCATCCCATTCCCCTCCCTGGGCTCAGCCTGTGCTCAGTGTTTGATGGTGTGGGTGCTCCCGGCCCCAGACCCCATCTTCTTTCGAGGTGTTGCGAAAGAAATGACAGCCACAGGGCAAGAAGAAGAATTAAAATAAGTACATGAGCAGTGGCCAGGGTCAGCCACAGCGGTGAGCCTCAAGGGCCAGCAGTGCCACTGAGAGCAGTGTCCCCCAGCACACACCCCCCCCGAGGCAGCTGTCACACCTCAGAACTGGTAATGCCGGGACTGTCTGGGGTTGAGCCAGTCCCACCCCTGGTGACCCCCAGGGTGATCTGAGCCCCAAGGCAGAGGGACAGGTGCTGGGCAGGGTCATCTCACACGTGTCTGTCTGCTCCCTTGGTAGGAGGAGCGTGTCCAGTCTGTGCGTGACTCCATACATCGAGGAGGGAGAAGAGCGGGATGACTGGATGGCAACCCTTCTCCTCCCCTCCCAGTTCAACTGTGTTTGCTCCATCGTGCTCCTCTGAAATCCTCTGTCCTGCCTCGATGACTCTAGCACGCTGGAGAAACCAGAGTGATGCCACGCGTGTGATCCGGGCAGATCTCTATTTCCCATTGAGCTGTGGGATGAGGCAAGACCCCGGTTCAGTTAAGTTCACTGCCCCTTGATGCCAGTGGGCATGGCTGCTTGCAGGATACAGCCCATGACCGGGAGGACCAGCGGGTCAAAGTCTGGAGTGGCTTTTTACCCCCAGAATCAGGGCTGTGACACTGTGCTGGCCAACCTAAAGGAGTGTGAGCAGCCGCAGGTACCTCCTGGGGCAGGTGGTGGAGGTGGCGGTTGCTCTCAGCTCCCTCGGAGGAGGCATTTGCGGGCGGTAATAATTCCAACCCTGTTGAACCTGCACATTTTGGGCTGCGTTCAGGCTGTTGGTGTTGGGGACCACTAGATGGGGATGTCTGTACGCGCTGGGTCAGACGCTTTCCACCTTTCTGTGCCGCTTTCTGCTCATCTCCCACTGCGGACAGGGATCCCCAGAGAAATTTTCCCCATGGAGATTTCCAGAGAATGGGGGCACCCTGAAACCTATCCCCCAGACACAGCTTCTGCAGCAACGCCTCAGGCCGGGGTTCCTGTTAATGCTACTTTTATTCCTGAAAGCACTGAAGCGCTCTCTCTTCTTTGGAGCCCGTTAATACATCAACTCCTTTTGTAAACTGTTAATAAATCCAAGAATGAGCAAAGTGCTTCCTGATGCAGCTCGGTGATGATTTAAGGTTCATTCTGGCCCATTCACAACTCCAACTCGTGTTTTCCAGGTCTCTAAGAAATTTTCTGAAATGAAACACATCTGCCCATTGATTCTAGGAAATCAGGTCAATGTTGCAGAGGTTCTCTCCTGAACCTACCTCCAACAGAAATGCACTTACCAGACTAGAATCAAGGAAGCCCTGGAGGACACGGCTGTGGATGGCACTTTGGGATTGTTCAGGATCTGGAGCATCTGCTGGGCAAAAAGCTTAAGATTTGGGGAAGAAGAGAATAAGCTGGAATTAAAAGAAACCAAAATGCTGACATTCCCCAGGGCACAAAAATCACAAGAATAATTAAGGTAGGAAGGGACTTCAGTAGGTCTCTAGACCCACTTTGTGCTCAAAGCTGGGTCAGCTGTGAGATCAGACTGGGTTGCTCTGGGATTTATCCATTATAGGATATCCAGGGTTGTAAAGGAGTCGGGGATAGCCTGGGATGCAAGAGAGCCAATGCTCTGGGGAAAGCTT